CTCTCCTCCATATATCTATCTCCCTTGCCATTTGCTTTTTTCCCTGCCCTGACAATCTCTCGCGCCATGAGAAAAAGCAACTTTTTAAGATCACTGCCGTATTTATATGCTTGAAAAACCTCCTTAATGTCTAGGTACAAAGTGTTCAGTCTGATGTTTCTGCAGTCTTTCTTTTTGGCTCTCCCTACCCACACTTCAGTTCTCAGGGAGGAAAGAGAGTAGAACGGACACATCAATCACCACCAGTCCTCCCTCCTTCACATGCTCTGTCTCACACATACACACACAGACATACACATACACAAACACACACACACATATTGTGCCCCACCCACATAAGCATAATACAGGTACATGCTTAGCATACTAACCCAACCAGGTTGACGTGAAAAAAGAGGTGATATATGAGGAGGACAAGTGCTTACATATAGAAAGGATCACCATGCATGTCCTCTCTTTCTCTCTCATCCTCTCTGTCTCTCACACACACACAAACACACACATAGTACAAGGTCCTTCATTTTAGGTGCTGAATCATCAAGCCGGTTCAGGTTTGTCAGCTTTTTGTTTCCCGTACTAAATACATGGGTGGCCAAACAGACGAGAAGCAAAAATGTGAGAGAGTTAGGGTTAGAGTTAGCATTAGTTATGGCAGTATCATTATAGAGTCTCTGACTCAGAGTCAACGTTGAATTATGCAGATTTTAGATTAAGGTTTACTGTTCGTTCACTTCTATTGATCTCTAAATGTTAAAGTAGTTAGATAGAAGGTGAATAGACACCAATTATAGTTTGAAAGCACATAATTCAGCTTTATAGTAGCTACAAAGCTATACAGTTAGCATGTAATGCATTCCTTTGTTAAATTAGACACATGCTGCTACTAACAATTAATGTTACCATCAATTGATCCACAGATTATTTAAGAATCTATATTTTTGTAAAGTTTAAAATAATATTTGTCCTCTCTATAAAAGTCCAAAGCGATATCTTTAAATGATTGGTTTTGATGCTCGAAAGCCAAAAACATTCAGTTTTATCGGTTTAAACTTTGTATATTTAATTGAGAAATTTAAACAAAAAAATATTCAACCTGTATGATTCTGAAGCTGAAAAAAGTAGCCAGCTAAAAGGAAGTAAATAACATTTCACGCTCTACAGATCCAGAGTGATGGTTGTCACCACTGCTCAGGTATATGATGTAATGGATCCTAAAGGTTAAGGAGCACCGTTATAAACAGCACTTGCACTAGACTAAAGGAAGTACTACATTTAAATGTAGGCATTAACTGGATTACTGTCAAGCCGTCTGCCTGTTATATTGGATTAACTGTTAATATGCAGAAGAAAGGTTCAATTGGATTGGGGTCCGTTTGGATACTCTGGAACAAATGCGCCCCAGTAATGGATTATTAATGCTATGAGGCATTTATTGTATTCAACATTAAGGGTCCCCCAACTGGCGTCCAAAAAACCACAGGGGGTCTTTAAGTCAGTTCCCTATCAAACTGTTTTTTTTTATTCCACATACTTGTACCATACTTGTTACAGGGAGTATAATGTGTATTTCTAGATGAGATTCATTTTTTCTTTAACAATATCAGTTGTTCACCACATGATTATTGTAGCCCAAATAATTCACAAATGCATTAATAACACAAAATCTATTGAAAATCTTAAAAAAACAGTTCATGCTATCAGACACATTTATTTGAGTCATTGTGCATTTTGTCTTGTGTTTAAGCTAATTAATTACAATCAAAATACGAGTGTAGGAAGGTGGAGAGAGGGTCTGTGACCATAAGGGTACAAAAGATTACAAAAAAGACAACTAGATGAACGAAATACACGAAAAATGGTTATTAATATTGTAACTACGGGTATTTCTTGACACTGCTGTCAGCTGTAGATGTATACACTGTAGGGGTTTAACGGTATCCGTATTCGTCCCGAACCGTCACGGTTCGGACGTCACGGTTCGGCACATGCGAGTGGTGGATCGGACGAGGATGGTGGATCGGACGAGGATGGTGTGTCGGCGTTGTTCGACAGCGGTGCGGTATGCTAATGGTCAAACGGCAATGCGCCCTTGAAACACTTTGTTATCATTTATTTTGTAATATTTTCAAGACATTCTTTTTAGTTTTACAGCTTGATGACACCTTTTTGTTTGACATCAGCCATTATAGATAATATGGCCATCTGAGTGTGTGTGGTACTGTTTGTGGTTTGTTTTTAACTTTTGTAATACCGTTCATTATTCAAAATGTTAGAGTTCCTTATTTGTATACTGAAACTTGCACTACTGTGCAAAAATAAATAACAACAAACCTGGAATTATGCATTTGGGACTTTTTTTTGCTTTTTCTTGTTGTACCGAACCCGTACCGAACCGTGACCCCCAAACCGAGGTACGTACCGAACCGTGAATTCTGTGAACCGTTACACCCCTAATACGCTGTACACAGATTTATATTTTGTTCAGCCCTTTGATGAAGAACAGGGGGCTGTTTTAAAACAATGCTACTCTCACTGTTTGAAGTGATTTGATAATGAATAAAACATCACAGTAAAAGCATGTTAGTGCAGACAAAGGATATAAATGTGTGGGATGATCAATAGAAAACGGTGCCAGCCTGCTACATGGACTCCAGCTGAGCAGCTTGTCTCTGAACAGACTCACCTGATCTGCTGACACATAAATTATTAACAACAATGCGTTTGTTTTTAACATCTAAGGAGAATTATAGCCTGCCTACTAATTGCTGTTTTGGGATGTAGACCTGCTATATTTTTCTGTACACGGTGACACTTATCTGGACTGTCATGCTCCTAAATGACGTTTCCTATGTTATTTAATGAAATGCTTTAGTTGCAGTTAAACGTAACTCACTATACTGGCTTGCCATCAGTGCAAATGTCATGCCTTTTAAATGCCCGGCCTTTCACAGCTGCTTCCCTAGAGATCCAGCTCTTTTCTGGTGTGCATTAGATATAATAGACTGATGGATGTCAGTGCACAAAGTCTCTTTGCTGAGCACTTAAAGCTTTATAGATTTGAAAGTGCTGTCTATTATACCTGCTTAAATGACTATTTCCTGCTTTTTATATATTCAGGCTTATGAGTCTGCTTAAAAAGAGATGCAATGCTCTTTTTCAATAGAGGTGGAGTAAAAATATAGATTTGATTTATGCAAATAAAAAATGTTTATGTACAAAAGTATGTGCACATGTAGTAACAAGAACTGGAACCTCTATTTAACATTCCCAAAACGTTACTTAAATTGTATTTTTTTTAAAGATGAGGCAACAACTAATCCACTGAAACAAGTGAATTCACAGTTTCGTCGCGAAGGTGTGTTTCCTGTTTTCTAACCTTAACATTTATTTTAAGTGACGGGGGGTTGTAGATTTGTCTATATTGGCAACATGTCGCAACATGAGCAGTTTGCTAGGTTTTGTCCTTTGACGCAATAAAGTGTCTATATAAAACCTCCTGGTGGGAAACTGCCTGCAGCTGTAAAGCACAATCACATTACAAGTTACCTGTTAATCAGTTTGTAAGGCATTTTTTAAGTACACACATCTTATCGTGCAAACAAGTCTTCAACTGAGAGATATAAGATTATAATTTAGTATTTTGTCCTGCTAATCAGATTTTATAAGCGATAATAGGAGAGTCAATCAGATTAGACGTGATTCAACACTCGTGGATCAGAGGACCCCTGCCTTCTGAAACATGGATCAACACATCCATCAATCACCAGGGAAGACACGCTGGTTTTAAATCATCCCTGAAAGGTCCAATGATCCCCGCTGTGTGATGAATCGGATCCAATGACCAGATTTGTTTCACGATTATTGAATGGCAGTGATTTGCGCGTGAGAATCTTAAAAAGGGCAATCCTCCCTGAACCATAATTCATAGTGGTTATTTCTGTGACCTTGGGTTCTTAAAGCGGGTTGATGTGGAAGATCCCTCCCAAATCGAGAACAAAAAAAAACATGGGGAAGGGAAAAGATCAGAGCTGCAACTTTAGTCTTTGATGTCATCACGGCCCGCAGCCTGTTGATGACATCACAGATTACTATCGTTCTGTTCCTTTTGGGGAAACTGCTTCATAAATCCACATTAAGGTGACCACAGTGATTCAGCTTCAGGGTGGATGATCATTTATCCACACACCATCCTCCTCCTTCCCCCCCTCCCCTTTCTTATTCCTCAGCTCTACCTTGATCCCATTTTCTAGAACAGTCTTTTCCAGCCCCTATCATGAGTAACATCTGTCACCTGTGAGCATGCATGTGTATACCTGAAAATGTGTGTCAGTTGAGTTCCCCTTTTTGTGTGTGTGTGTGTGTGTGTGTGTGTGTGTGTGTGTGTGTGTGTGTGTGTGTGTGTGTGTGTGTGTGTGTGTGTGTGTGTGTGTGTGTGTGTGTGTGTGTGTGTGTGTGTGTGTGTGTGTGTGTGTGTGTGTGTGTGTGTGTGTGTGTGTGTGTGTGTGTGTGTGTGTGTGTGTGTGTGTGTGTGAAGGCAACCGCTCTCCGTAAAAAGAAGCACAATGAAAAGAAAATATGTGTCATGTCCTTGCTAGCCCTCGAAAGGAGAGTGATCTATTTCTGTCGCCGCGAATAGAGGTGTTCAAGGAGCCTTCAATAGCAGAGATGTGCCTCTTCAGACACACACACACACACACACACACACACACACACACACACACACACACACACACACGGAGCTACAGAAAAGCCTAGCCATTCATAGAGAATCTGAGACCGATAAATGAGATAATAGACTCAGAGAGAATTAAGAAATGAAGGAGTAGACGGAAAAAGGAAGAGAGAGAGAGGAGAGAGAGAGAGAGAGAGAGAGAGAGAGAGAGAGAGAGAGAGAGAGAGAGAGAGAGAGAGAAGGGGGAGGGGAAGACAGAATAATGTACACAGAGTTCATTGGAACACACACACAGTTCCCACATTAAATCAGAGTGGTAGTTGTTTACCTAGAGGCATGCCTTTGTTGAGGAGATGTGAGCTTCCCATGGTGCGTTCCCCAGCCGGCGAGCGTTCAGTCTTCACACAGCAGACATGAACAGGAATCCAGTCAGCATATGGCGGCTGTGGCCAGCTACCTCGCTTCCCTTAGTCCTTCTCCCAGCCCCTTAGTGACAAGCATACACATGTGCTCCCCCTCTTTTCTCTCTCTCTCTCTCTCTCTCCCCTCCCTTCCGTCCCCTTTTGCTCGCTCTCTCTCTCTATCCGTCTTACCCCTCCCTGCCCGTCTTTGGCTACTTCCCTCCCCTTCCTTTCTCACTTTCTATTACAGCAAATCTCTCTGTCTTACCGTCTGTCTGTCTGTCACACAAAAAAAGTGCAAACACACACACACAGGCATGCAAGCACTGCTGCATTTATGAGAAGGAGAGTGTAGAGGGGAAGGTGGGGGAGAGAAGAGAGTGTGTGTGTGTGTTTGAGAGAGCAGGAATGGGGAGGAGCTAACGTTGGCCAAAATTCATCTTTTGTTTCCTGAAAGACGACAGGGTGAAAAAAAAGAAAAGAAAAACGAGTTATGCAGTTACAAGTCTGTGGCAAGAGAGGAAATGCTTGGTCTGGGGGACACCAGGAGAACAGTTATAAAGCTCATTAAAGTTAATTGTTATAAGCAAGATATGACATTTAATTTTTTCTCAAAGCTTGGTTTGGTTATTCTAATTTAACTTTATGAGTTTACTTATGGCATTATACAACTTCAGATCTGGTGTCTTGGTGTTTTTTCAAGAAAATAAACAACTTTTTACCATTACCATTGACAATCAAACTATTCCCATTAGGACACAACTAAATAATACAGTATCTAGAATATATATGGGGGTGTTTGTGCTGCATTCGTGATATAATTCTAATAAAAACCATGCAAACCGCTGTTACTAATGAAAAAAGTAATTATTATTCATTATTATTTGTTTTTATAAACAACAGTTATTATACTTTAAAAGGCATACCAGGTTTCAGGGACGTTTAAGTATATGAAAAGGAAAACCTTCAGGCAGGCTTCTAGATACTGTTCTGGTATTAAATATTTAAATAATCGTTGAATGGTAAGGGGTATATTAACTTGTGAACGTTTTCCTGTTAGAAATCAAAGAGCTAATAAAGAGCTGATATTGACCTCATATGTCATTAGTTGTTTTTTATTTTTGCCTAATTTGACTTATTCCAAAACTGTAAGGCACTAATCTGACCATAATTATTTTTACTTTGTTTGCCCTAACGCCATTTTGTTACTCATTACTTTGTAGAATTGTTCTCAGTTTGACACAGATGAATTTCTTATGATTCTTTCCAGTAAAAACATATATTATTAATTACATATATATAATAAATTGTAATTGTACCTTTGATGTACATGTACAATTGCAGACACAGTCTTTTTAATGACATACTTAACTTAAAGTGGACCTATCATGCTATATTTAAATGATATATTGTAGGGCCATACCTATATAAGGTATATTTATACGTTTCTGTTTTCAAAATACCAAACAGATCATGCATTTTAGCCATGCCTCATTTCGCTCTATGTGCTGTTTGCTGTCTACGGGTCTGATTCTGCTGACCACGCCCCCCTGCAGGAGAGGGGAGCCGTGCTCTAATCAGCTGCTGGGCTGTCAGAAGAGGGGGAGAAAAAGAGATCTCCGTCCTCCGTGTTTTATTATATAGAGTCATTATTCATTTGTTTTAAAGCTCAATAAATAACAAAGAAGACCTTTGACCGGCACTTTTCTAATTTTGTCCGGAAGATTTCAACTTTAACGGACATCTTGACCGGCGAAACAAACTGAAACTGAAACTCTGCCGCACGGTCCCCTCGTTCCTTGGAAGAGGCGGAGAGGTGGGTGTTTGTCATCTGCTGGTGGACTAACCGGAGAGAATTACAGTGCTTGCCTCGACGGGGAGGGATTGCATTGCAGCGGGAGCAAACGCTTGCCTCGGGGAGGGAGAAAAAAAGCCACAGCGGAGAATAAACAGAAGGGTAACCATGGTAACTATGGGCGGGAAGTCTTCTACGCTGCTTTTGTGGCAGACTACAGCGCCACTTACAGGCCTGGCATATGTACTACAGCGTCTCCAGTGCTTTCGAGCGGCAATGGCCGGCCGTGGCCCAACCCCACATTCCCCTGATAGGTGGAGAGTTGGCCCAATAGCCGTAGCGCCACCGTCCTGACGTCAGTAACGTGTTCAAATCTGGATCAGTTTTTATCAGATCCGTTGCAGCCCCTTTTTTAGAGATTTGGGTATGGAGGAAAATAGAGAGGGTTGTGTTTTCTGACACTTGGTGAGTTCCCTGGAACACCGGGTACACATATTCATGTATAAAAGACGTACAAAAGTGCATTTTGCATGATAGGTCCCCTTTAACTCCTGCACCATGTAATCACTTTTAATCTCTTAACCTGTGGGCTTTGGTCTGGTTAACACCTATCCACCTCCTCGTGCTCTTTCTGTTCCTGCAGTCCTGATGTTTCATTTACTCTCATCTACATTTGGCCATTTGATACACCACAGTGATATAAGCAGCCTCAGATCCCCCCCTAATAGCGGTCAGGGCCTAACCTAGTTTAACAGCAATGAAGGTTACATCACAGCCTCACTATTGGTAAATGTCAAAGACTGCCACTGGGTGAGTTGTTGAATCCAAAAGGAGGCAGAGGGTCATGGAAACAGTCGTTTGCAACACTGGAGAAAAGCCAACTCATGATCTCTGTCCTGTGATATCACATCAACTGTTCTTCTTTAACCATTACTGTCAACTCCTGTAGACAAATTTAGCATAATATTAATGTTCATCTCCAAAGCTGTATTTATACAGTGTAGCACGTAATAATGCAAGTTCGTTAGCTTTCAGTAATACAAAAAAATGTAAGAGCTACATACAGAAATGAGAAGTTTAAAAAACGTCAGCAGTCAAAACTGTTGAGTTTTCAGTCTGCTACGGAAGATGTGTTGACTTTCTTCTGTCTTGATCAATGGGGAGCTATTACTTAGCAGACAGGCTCCCTTTAAAGAGTACATAGCTCTGAGGTTGGGTTTTTTCTATGATAAAATATTTAATGGAAGCTCTAGCTTTTGGGTTTATCCTTATTATTACCTAGTCACAATGTCACCTAGTCAAAGAAGAGACATCTGATGGGAATAATGTGTAATCAAAAGTCAGTGAGGGTACATGTGGTTTGAGGCTCAAAGTAACATTGCATTTGGCCTGTTTTGTGACTGCTGCTTATAGGTTGCTGCAGGCGAATACCACCAACACCACCAGCCACTGTGGCTCTAAGTGTGTTCATTTAATGATGTTCACAACAGATAGCGGAGTCACAATGGACATGACTCAATCATTCCACACATCAGGAAGCAAACACTGAAACTAACATAACTGGAGGTTAAACAGAACACGGAGTCCAAAAAAAACAACCCGGATATCATAGGATATTTTTTGTTTTTCAGCAAGTGGTTCCCTTTGGGACCCACAAATAACCATTTGTACTGTATGTCAATAACTCACCCCATGTTACTGTCTTGAAAAACCCCTTTATTTCTTGCATGCCTTCTTCTGTATGCATAATTAAGCCATCGGTATGGTCCCTAATCCACACATGCATTTTTCACTACATCCATACTATTTGAAACACTTTCACATAAAATTGCAAAGACGCCATTGTTAGCGGTTAATGTAAGAATGCTATGCAAATTAGTGGATTTAAGCTAGCCACACTATATACTAAAATGCTACGTTAACACAGAGAAGCTTACATAACACGCATAGGGAGTGGGACACTTTCTGCTTAGTACAATAAACTACACTACATTTTGACAAAGCCAACAGTGGTGTGCTGCTATCAATCAATCAATCAATCAATCAATCAATCAATCAATCAACAACTTTATTAATCCCGCAAGGGGCAATTGGTTATGAGCAGCAGCTTATGTCATGTGCACAGGCAGGAACATACAGGAAGAAAACACACATCTACACCCGGGAGCACAGATGTGGATCATTCCAATTTACACAATAAATAGTTCATAGCATCACAATAATAAATAAATAAATAATCAAGTTAAAAGCCTTTCAAGAATTTAAAAGTTTGAGTGCAGAAGGGATGAATGATTTTGAAAAGCGATTAGTCTTTAGAGCAGGTAGAGCATATCTACGCCCTGATGGCAACAGACAAAATTCATGTGCAAGAACATGACCTGGAGAGGCCAGAATGCTCTCTGCTTTCCGCAGAATCTGTTGGTTACAGAAGGCAGGGTTCCCGCGGGGTCTTAAAAAGTCTTAAATTTGATCATCTGAATTTAAGGCCTTAAAAATGTCTTAAATATGACCAAAAAAATAAGAAAGGTCTTAAATATGATTTAGAAGGTCTTAAAAATGATCGGATTTGAAAGGTACTTCTGTGTTGCGATCGCGTCTAAATGTGTTTTGGGGGAAATGTCCGGGCTGCAAAGTAACCAGTACGGTAATAGCCTTTCAGTTCCCCCCAACAATTTGTATTGAATTAAATCAACATGGAACCAGTAATCACTCATTTTGTTTCCCCCGGCCCCTTATCGGAGAACACACAGCAGTGTTTCCCCTACCATTGTCTTGGAGGGGCGCTGCGCCCCGCCAACGGAGCCCCGCGCCCCCCCTAAAATTCAAGGTGTTTAAACATAAAAAAAAATAATATTTATATAGCACCAAATTGCAACTAATCTATATCTACTGTCACTTTTCACATTGAACATGTGCTCTTTTATTAAATAAACTAAACACTTTCATTTTAAGTTGTGAGTTTAGTGTTGGAGTTTATAATCCACAGCTCCTCTCTCTGCTCCAGAGGATTTAAAAAAAATATATCCCAATGTTGAAAATGAATACATTTCATGTACATATTTCTTCTTTCATAGCAATTTTCCTTCATACTTTCTTGCCGTTAAATAGGTCTTAAATTATATTCAAAGTGGTCTTAAAAAGGTCTTAAAAAGTCTTACATTTGAGTTGGTGAAACCTGCAGGAACCCTGAGAAGGAGTTTAAGTCTCTCTGTTTCACGCCAATGATCTTAGAGCAGGTTTTAACAATGCTGTTCAGGCTGTTCCTATCTTTCAGTGTAAGGCTATGGAACCAGCAGATAAAAGAAAAACAAATAAGGCTCTCAATGAATGCTTGGTAAAAACGACAAAGAATTCTATAATAATTATCTGAATGATGTATAACAGTAGACCCTTTAGAAAGGATTTAGTTAACTTGGACCTTTGTAGGGGGGTAACACATCAAATTGTACTCCATATTACAGAACGTTTTAGCCACTATTTGAAGAACTACTTGAGCTTCCTAATGTATGTCATGTTGTTTTACACTCACCAAATTATGCAAATGAAATGTTTAAACTGATTCATCTGGTAATTGAGAACTATCTCTCTCTACTTGTCATTGTGCCGTACATGGATGCTTTTGCTATAGGGCCATTAAATGATACCAGTTGGTCGTCTAACAAGAAATGAGTGAGCAGGTTTAGCTTTAGCTCTGATACCAAATTCAAATGGAGTCAACAATGTAAGAAGCTGCAGACAACATTTATCCACAACTACCTCTTTCTAGCTAGAGACATGTTCTGTAGGAGATAGAGGAATCCTAAAACGTATTTAGAGCTTCTAAATAAAGATGGAGAAACGAACGAGGCTTACGTGGACTTAGGCTATAGCGAGAATGGGAGAATGAGGATAAATTAGGAGATTTTTCTGCGCTGCATTTTGTTTGTTTAGACTCTTCTTTAATGTGTGCAAACTGAGCCGATATTCACACGTTTCTGAGCGAGGGTGGAAATGAACAGTTACACCCTTCCCTCTACTTATCATTCACACCTGCTGTTTCTTTCTTCCTCTTTTTTATTTTCTCTTCTCCTCCATTCTCTCTACCTCTCCCCTCCCTCTCTCCTCCCCATCTCTTTACCTGCCCATCTTGCTTTCCCTCTTCAATCCCTCACAATTTCTCCCTCGATAACGTTCGCTCTCCATCACCCACCATTCCTCATTCCCGCATGTCTTTCACTCAGTTTTTCCTTCCCCGCCTTGCTCCCCATACATCTTCACACCCCCGCCACCTCCCACCCTCTCTCTCTGTAGTCACTGCAGCGTGTCTAATGGTTCAGCTCCCTCTCAGCAGATACACCGAGCGGAAGCCAGGCAAACAGCAGCCCCGGATAACGCCTCCCAACCTCTGGCCTTATCAAGACTGACAGCCAGCTAGACCTAAAGCTATCAAACACACATACACATAATAGCAAAGATACAAGCCTGCACATGTACAGAGATACAAGCTGTACCGAGAAATAAATGCACACTCACACAAGCATTTGCATGCAAAACAAATGCACTGACACCGTGGTACAGGCTCAAACAGAGATATAAGTGATGCAAGAAATGCAGCTGCAACCAAGCGTGGACACACACACACACACACACACACACACACACACACACACACACACACACACACACACACACACACACACACACACACACACACACACACACACACACACACACACACACACACACACACACACACACACACACACACACACACACACACACACACACACACACACACACACACACACACACACACACACACACACACACACACACACACACACACACACACACACACACACACACACTCAACTGCATGACAGGAAATGTGGATGTATGCACACAAAGAGCTACAGATTTGCACTTACAATATAGCTCTATATGTAGCTTGAAATAAACTTACAGTGGCCATTATACTAGTCGTTAATGTGCATAGGCACACACACACACACACACACACACACACAAAAACACTCAAATGCATGACAGGAAATGTGGATGTATGACAAACTGAGCTACAGATGCACACCTACACATATAGCTCTAAATTAAGCTTCAAAGAAACACACAGTGGATGTTATACTAGTTGTGCAGAGACACACACACACGCACACGCACACGCACACACACACCAAATTGGATTTATGGATACTGACAGTGAGCTGTAGAACAATGTGGATGCCACAACAGAGGAGAGTGCAGTTGCAAGCCATGTAATCTACTATAGGAGGAGACAGGTGGCATAGTAGGCAGGAAGAATCTAATCCACGTAGAGAAGAGTGAGAGGAAGAGGAGTAGGAAGCAGCAGCAGGAGAGAAACAAAAGGGATGAATGGAGGAACAGATTGTCAGAAAAAGTGAATGAGAGTAGGGAGAAGGAGGAGAGTTGAGGCGGATACGAAAAGAAAGCAGTGAAAGTAGAACCAAATGGGGAAGATGACAAGGTAAAGAAGGATGATGAGAAAAGAGAAAGATTGACGAGAAAAAGAAGACGTATCACTATTTTCACAGAAAGTTTGATGTAGAGACAGGTTCAAATTCAAAAGGTTAAAAAGGTTTATTTTCATATCATATACACAACTATGGTGTAGTTATGTAATGAATGAAAAACTCTGGTTGCAGGTTTCGCAACATTGCAATTACAAGAAATACATATATATTTTTTAAACATCAATAAAAAATAGTGCAAGCAGACAAATAGGTGTCTATCCTTGTTCAAATGTTACTTTGTGATATTTATATAACTGTCACCTCCCTCAATAGAGAAAAGCGCTGATTACCAATAACTGCTAGCATGTACCTGCATGCATCTACACTTACATTTGGCATATCAATTTAATTGTTATAATTCAAATCACTGAAATTGGCTCTTAGTTCCTCACAACTTTTACTATTTATGTATGCCGATGAAGATGGTAAAAGTATTGCAGAGCCCACCTTTGGTTTATAGGATGTACACTTGAATTTGGCAGTCACACACAAGAAAGCCTTCTTCTTTAAGTACACACTTGCAAAGAGGCCTTTCCACTAGTTGTTTGGTGTGGTACTATCATTTGGCGCTGCTATCACACACAAACTCGCAAGTTTTTATAAACATGGACACTGACACACATACTCGTACACACAGGAAGCACTCAATATGGGGGACAAAAATACATCACAACCCTTTCAATGCCTTCCTCTCTGGGTGTACACTGTTCATAAGCTTGGTGGGGGTGGGGCATGTTGCAGATAAGGGGCCAATTGTAAGCGATTAGACCTTTTGCCAGCCAATCAGCGCAGCCCAGCACTGGACAGCAGCAATATGTTCAGCGCGGTCGGGGGGAGTATGCACTTACTCACACAGGAAAAGACATGTGGCCCTGCTATGGGACTGGTGTTGGGGGATATGAACTGTACACAAACACAAATTCTAAGTAGCATAAATGAAGATTTCATGTTGGAAAATTAAGAAATAAGCAGCCTGCTGATCTAGTCTTGGCCCTATTCTGTTCTTATCAATACTCAATCACATAATCAACTCCAATCCCAAGCATTCAGCACAACAACCCCTTATCCAATCAATAATGTCCACATGAAAAACCAATCAGGAGAAAATCACCATTTGCTTTACATTCCCAACATGTTGACTAATATATTATTATTGATAATAAAAAAATTATACCTGTCATTGATTTTACATTTTTCAGGTATTTGTTAGGTTTCCTTAAAGTAGCCTAATGATTTATCTCAGGGCCTGCTTTTTTCCAACCTCTACAATATATATATACAGAAATGCAAACAGGAATGTAAACACACACATTCACAGGGTTGTAAACAGTCAAAGTCAAATATATAAAAGTAAATTCAAGTATAAATTATTGTTGTGGTGATATTTGTTTGTCTTCTACAGCATCACATTGACTGTATGTAAATAACATGCTGTGTCTCGCCTTGAATCAATTAATACTTTCAGTTTGAAGCCACTTCAGATAAGAAAGGCATCTGAATAATATTCAACAAAGCTCCTTACATTGTTGCCTGTCGTAGCCTTAATGAGTTCTATTATTCACCTCAAGTGTGTTGAGGGCCTCGGAGTTGTCCTCCCTTTATAATCTATTTGTTCTCTCTATCTACCAATAAAAGCAACAATGGCCAACAAATTAATCTTTACCCCAAAATCCTCCAACACCTTCGCACAAGTCAGTGCTGACACCGTGTCAGCAGATGGCGGTAGTGAGCACCGAGGCCATTCTGAGCTCACAGAAAAAAAAACACAAACAACCACAAGAAAAACCACAAAACCAAGATGGCGGTGCAAGAGACAGCATCTCAACTGTCCATGGCTCTCAAAGTCCAAGAATATCCCACCCTGAAGGTAAACAAAACCTGTCATATATGAACAGTCTTCCTAACCTGCTGTGTCCTAAACACACGATGTGTTTGACGCTGTTTGGAAAATGGGGATTAGTAGTTCATTTGTATAGCGACCAAGCGAATTTGACAGGGAGGCTAACGTTAGCTGCACTAGCTTAGCTAGCAGCGTCCTTTAACTACCTGTGTTTAAATAGCATCAGCAATGATCAAGCAGCTGGATGAATAACACATGCTGGTGGCTAGTTAGCAGGCTGTCTGCTGCCTTAATTAGTTCTTATTATTCACCTCAAGTGTGTTGAGGGCCTCGGAGTTGTTAGCCTGAGTGTGAGCCTGTTGTTTTTGACAAAATTGTCATTTGACGTGACTTATGACTTGTCAGTTGACGATACTTATATGTTATCTAACGACAGTTGATAGCCGTTTGTCAGTTGTGTGTGTGGGCAAATTTAAAGGCCGAGCTAACCTGGCTACTTAATTCAGTTTAAAGATTATATTTACATTATGATAACATGTTAAAACGTGTTTGCTCGTCCATTCAACAACCAGGCATGGCATTCAAAAGAAATGCCTTGAAAGTGTGTTTGGCCTGCTAGCTAGTTTGGTGTGGGGGAAGCCAACAGGAGCCACATTTCTTGTCGCTAAAGATTAAACACCCTACCAGATAACGTAACGTCAAGCATGTAGATGGCTGTAGGAAGGGTCGGTAGAAATCACCGTGGGGAGAGCCCGTAAAAGCTGCGATGTCAGGCAGGGAATCAGCCCTGAGAGTTAGCGCCGTGTCATCAGATTGCTGCTGCCTCTCTGCACTTCAAAATGGCCAGCGAGAGAAATCACAGCCCGCCGCACACACGCACCGTTCCTCCATTTCCACAACACGTTACTGCGACACCACTGCTAAAAGACGAGCTGAGAGAAGCTGCTCCTGTGTCCAGCCGCGTCGTCGTTTAAAAGCACGGTTGTGAGTAGCAATGTATTGGCAGCTTTTGTGTAGTAACATGTGGCATGATGGTGCCATGATGAATATAACGTGTTGTTTAAGTCGTGTCTGTTCAGGAGAGCATGGCTGTGGCGATATGTCTGCCTGTGCTTGGATGGTGCAGTATAGGGATGATGGGCTCCATTTTAAGACAGGACTGATGCTTTTAATTGCTATCTAATGGGAGTGTACATATGTGTTAAGCTATATTTAGCAGCTAATGTCACAATGTTGCCTGATAGACATTTAGGAATCAGCTAATCTGCATTACCAATAAAAGGTACCTTGTGTTGGGTATTATGTCCTTGTGGATGGTTTTGGATATTTTCAGTCAGATTGGTGTAAGGTAAAGCAAAAACAAAAGGAAATGGTAACCCTAACTAATATATTGAACAGCCATTGGACCAGTGCTTTGTTATCCTGAATGGTGTGACAAAACAGGCCCAATTTTGAGATGACGTTGTAATTCTGCATTGTTTAAAATAATGTGTCTGTATTCGAGGTGAGTCAAACATGTTTACACACGCTCACATTGCCTAAGCCATTAGGTTAAGCCATTTAAAGATAGTAGATATTGTCAATTATCATAATATATGTTGCCTGATAAACATTTGGGAAGCTTCTAATTTGAATCACCAATAACATGTAACCATCATTTGGATATGATGTCCTTGTGGACGGTTTTGGATATTATCAGTCAGATTGATGCAAGGTAAAGCAAAGGAAATGGGAACCCTAATAAATATATTTACTAATTTGTGTGCTTAATTGACCAGCCTTTGGACCAACGCTTTATTCTGAATGGTGTGACAATGCAGGCCCTTTATTACAGTGAGATGACGTTGTAATTCTGCATTGGTTGAAAATATTGTGTCTGTATTCATGGTTAGCCAAAATCTTTTAGACACGCTCAATTGCCTAAGCCATTTAATGATTGTAGATATTCTTAATTATCATAAAGCTTGGAGTGGGCTTGTACATGTCTCGCATCAAATTGTGACAGACAGCTAGTCACACGGTGTCATAATAGCTGTCTTTGTTAATGTGTTAATGACTGATTTACATGTCATCTGTCAAGTAAATCAAGGATGTCTAAGACTAAGAGTAATGCCATATATAATGCTATATATTATATTGTAATAACAATGTATTTGATGGACTGTTTATAGATACAGTATCCAGCTCTAAATGCCTGTATTGGCTTATCCAATGAATTTAAAACCTTGGATATCACATTCTCTGCATTGATTTGCTACATTTACTTTCCTCATACAGTCATACATGTTAAATACATAACTACTTAAGTACAGAGGGTTACAAAATCATAATTTTGTTGATCTATTGCCAATTGTGTTTCTTAAAATCAATTTTCGCCAGACAAAAGCATACCTGAGCAGAATACATTCACTGTTTCTTTCCAAAGGACACTAATGAATATGTACTAGTGCTTACACAGCTATTCCATTGTAACATCTTAATTATAGGGTTATATTCTGGGCATTAGTTTGACAAAATTAGAGCTAATAGGTTCCATAAAAATTCCAACATGGCAGCAAAATGTCTTTACTGTACCATGTTTTGTGGCACGCTTGCATACTTTTCCTCTTCAGTGTTAGTGACCTGTGAAATTAACTTTGCTCTAAAGAAAAAAACAACTTGTAATGGATCCAAGTGCTCCTCTTAGTTTTGTGTGCAGTATCTTAGAAAGGAAGCCACAATGGTCACATTTTTCTGGAGCACGGGTATCTTAGAAGCCTCACTTCACCAAACAATGTGATCGTACATGATGGTTTTTGGATTGTATTTAATACAGATATTTTGTTTTGCCCCTACACCGGGGTCCAGAGCGGGTTTGTCTGTTTGTTAGTAAATATCACAATAAAATGTTGTCAGATTTCTTTCCTCTTTTTAATTAAAATAAATATGCAAGTTTTGTTAAAATGAATAAGGCAGAGTTAATTTGGGGAAGGAAACTATTTTCTCCTCATAACAGTAAGACATTATAAAAACATCTTTATTATTTAGTAGAGAAACAGTACATCGATGTGGAATTAAATGTAGCAATGATTACATATTCAGCCGTATCAAGAAAGGCAGGCTCGTTGCAGTCAGTGCTTGTGACATTTATTGGTATTTATTTGGATATACTGTTCTTGTTTACCCATTCCTACTTTTTATGTGAACGTTTGTCTTGTGAGTGTTTTTTAGTCCCTACAACACAGGATATCTATGCATTTTCTTCTACTTTTAAGGAGAATCCCTAAAACTCAGTATCCGTAAGATTGCTTACAGCTCAGCTATCCAAACAGCTTATCCATGTGTTCACTTATGGGGCTTTGTAAAACTGTACTTGGTTCCATGCTTGCTCTTTGGTGAATTCCCAAAGTTAAAAAGCCTGTGTCGTCGTTGTTGTTGTTGTTGTTGCAGGTGCCGTACGAGACTCTGAACAAACGTTTCAGGGCGGCTCAGAAAAACATCGACCGGGAGACGAGTCACGTGACGATGGTGGTTGCCGAGCTGGAGAAGACGCTGAGCAGCTTCCCAGTAGTCGACTCCGTGGTGTCACTGCTGGATGGTGTGGTAGAGAAACTCAGCGCCCTGAAGAGGAAGGTGAGGGATTCATATGTACACACACACACTTTCACACAGCAATGTAATCTCTACAGACCTTAAAAGAGTGTTTTATGTATAGATTTGGCATATGGGACAGTAAAAAGCCAAGATATTTAGCTACACGCTCCAGAGCCCCTACTCTATGAACAAACACGCATGATCCCTGTTGCATTTATTTCCCTCTGGTCTGCTTATGGCCTTGCTATTGTCGGTATGTTTTGTACTGGTGTTGTATTATAAAACTTCTCTACACACAGTAGCATACACATTTGAATTTGTTTAGTCATCTGCAGTCTTTTCAGAGTATTCTTCTTACAGTAAACTAGAAAGCAACCCAAAAATGGAATCCCTTCTTCAATAATGGTTGGCAATAGTTTGAATGTTAGACGCTTTTGACGCATACAGGCAGTTACCCTGTGCTTGGATCACGGTTCTTTTTTGCCTCTGACTCTCAGTGTCTCTCTAGTTCAGGGGTGTCAAACTCAAGGCCCGGGGGCCAAATCCGGCCCGTGACTTCACTTCCTGTGGCCCCACAAGAGCTTGCAAATAATATAATATGTTTATTATACGGTTACATGCCGATTTACAGAAGCACGTTGCCCATGAACTACATGTCCCACAATGCATCTCAAATTTGACTTTAACTCTTTTTTCAAAATGTCACCTTTTTTTTGACTTTTTTTTTCAGAATTAGCCTTTTATTTTTAAATCATTTTGTGACATGCGCACTGAAGAGACTTAACGTTTTTTGCCCTAGACTTCTGATTTCAGACGTAGTTAATTATGAAGTTATTACCCTATCCTAATAATCCAATGCAGAGGCAATAATGTAATATAATACATTATTTTATATATATTAAATATTTATAAATGTATTTTTATATAGTCTTAAAGTTACAACCGGCCCTTTGAGTGCAACCATAATGCTGATGTGGCCGGCGATGAAGTTGAGTTTGACACCCCTGCTCTAGTTGGTCTAATTTTTACAATAATGGTGTTTCCTGCTATCATTTTAGTTTCAGAGGGTTGTTCTTTACAAAAAGAATTGCACAGATGACCAGATGCTATAGAATGCTGGCTTAACATAGTGAATGCAGCCATGTTTATGAACAGTTTATAACAATCAAGTCTTTGTTTTTACTCACTTTAAAGTGGTGACCTGGACTGGGAGGTAATTTTCGGGCCTTGGGTGGATGGAGATTAGGGCTGCACGATTTGGGGAAATAATCTAATTGCGATTTTTCTGACAGATATTGCGATTGCGATTCGATTTGCGATATTTGTTTTTAAGCGACCCAACGGAAGTTTATTGTAAAATGCGGCCATATCTCCGGCTAGGAAGGTCGTATCAACGTGCTCCCGTCTCTAGCACCCCCGCAGCCCGAGTGAAAGAACTAAACTTACATGAAACTTCCGTTGGGTTGCTTTAAAGTCAAGCTGCAGTTTAAGATTCACCCTGTAATAGATGTAAAACATGTGATGGAGCATTACTAACCTGACTCAGATGGTTTGTTTCACCAAACCATCTAGGAAAGCTCCATTGGAAGCCATTTGGAAAAGTATTTCAAAAATACTTGGCAGGTGATTGGATCAATCTGTCTATCACCTACTATCATGGGCCACTTCTGATTGGTTAACAATGGCTGGTACATGTGGAGCACAGCACTTCTGATTGGTGTGGATGACTGACACACAAGAAAAGGAAAAAAAGAAATCGCAGGCTTTGCGATTTGATAATTGCATAATTTAAAATCGCAATTTCGATTTAAAATCGATTAATCGTTCAGCCCTAATGGAGATATAACAGGAAAACTCACACCACAGTCGCCTTCAGCTAGAGCCAGCTGTTAAAAGCCACATTGCTCGACCCCGTTGACAAAAGCACCTTATTGTTGCCAGGGTTTCTTTATGTGTATTGTGTTGGTCAGCGGTGGAATGCTGCCTGGGTGGTTCATCTATCAAGCCTTTCTAAAACGACAGAAAACAAGTGATAAAAAAAAAACACACTTCTGCAGTTCTTTTTAACTTTGTGCCTCTATGATGTCCAGTAACTACTTTGTGGCCAATAAACCCTGAAATCATTGAGTTGAAAGCTGAGTAATACTCGACACTGTGCTGGTGTGCTTGGACCAGGGGAGTGATTTTTCTCCCAAATATGTGGGATCAAACTAAGTTCAAAGCCTAAAAAGAACACTTAACAAGAGAAGATAAAGCAATACATGTTATCTAAATGGAAGTGTGCCCATAGAACAGAGTTTTCTTTTTGCCGGTCAAAATGTCCGTTAAAGTTTAAATCTTCCGGACAAAATGAGAAAAGTGCCGGTCAAAGGTCTTCTTTGTTATGTATTGAGCTTTAAAACTAATTGATATGATTCGATATTAAACAAACTAATTATAGTAGATGAACTACATTATTCAAAAGTGTACAGTAATTTACAATAACACGGGAATAATAAACGGAGCGCTCTCTCCCTCTCCTGACAGCCCACCAGTATCATGCAGCTCGCGGATCAGTAATGAGTGACCCGACAGTAAAACTAAACATATCTGTAACTAGTTTAGGTAGTTTGAGAGGTAATTAAAATAGCTACGTGTGATATTCTAACCTGAAGTGTGTGTTTTGTTTAGCTCGCCGCTGCAGGTGATCATGCAGAGCTGCGTGTCGACTCGTCAGCAGCAGCTGATCTCTCTCTCCCGTCAGATTAGACTTTACTCGCGTTTATGTCCATATCGATCAGATCTAGCTAATGATATGACTACTTGCTTATTAAAAGACACCTAAACAATAAGCGTCGCTATGCCACCGGGCGAGGCCGCAAAGTATAGCGCAGCATTATGCACTTGTTTACATGCCCACCGGAGGCATTACCAACAGATCAATGCACAATCAACCCATACAGGACACTCTTTCTCCACATTAATTGTTAGACATTAGAATTGACTATTTTTGTCTGTCACATATTATTTTTGTCTGTCACATACTATTCTTGTCTGTCACATAAGTGTCCCAACTGATGCGGTATTGTGCTAAGGGGAAATTATTTTGAGCGGAGAGATTTAGATTTGCCGGTCTTCAGCATATTTTACCGGCTAACGGAAACTCTGCCATAGAATAGTGCTCATGGGGATGCAATCATGTACTGAACAATATAATCACGGATTACTTGACACTGTGTCCTAATACAAACCTACCATGCAGCGATGTGAATACACAGTGTTCCTTTCCAGTTATGTGTATGACACCCAACTTCCCCTCATCACACAAGAGTTTACCTCTAGAACAGGTAGAAGCTGTTCATTCTCCTTTATCCTCAACAATTCCTCCAGAAAGAAATCTAAATGAGAAACTTATGCTACTTACTTTAGGAAATCCAAGAATCTAAAGCATCTTTACACAATAAAAGTATTAAAAGTTGATAAATCAATTTAGCGAAAATTAAGGCTATTAAAAAGTATTAAACGGCATTTTCCAAGGTATTACATTTTGTAGCTTGTTTTCAATAAGTATATAAATTGTCCAAAGAGGTTGTATTCTACAGTTTGCCTGAATGTAATCATTGCGTAGGTGTGTAGTGTGATTCTGTGTAGTTTATTTATGGCATCCCTTTGGATTTGACGTCATCTGAACAGGACATCGCGCGCTCACTGCTTGATAGCGCGCGCAGGTCCGTTTACGCCGGTTGTTAAACAACATCGTTATGGGGAAATGCAAGTTTGCGTCCAAATGGTTGGAAGATAAGGAGGAAGGACAATCAATACTGAATATAGTAAATGTGAGGTAAAGTGTGTCGCCAATGTAACCGGTTAAAACTCGAAGTGGCGATGAGGTCTTAAAATGTATGGAAAGGGTCTTAAAAAAGGTCTTAAAAGGTCTTACATTTGACTTCAGGATTCCTGCATATACCCTGGATAAAGGGAAGGAAAAGATACTGAGTCATTTGAACTCATGTTTTAGTTTTTGTCCTGATGCATATTCAGCTTTTCGTAAATATCCTGCTTCTTTTGTGCATGCGTGTCCTGTAGGCTGCAGAGTCCATCCAGGCAGAAGATGAGAGTGCCAAGCTGTGTAAGCGTCGCATCGAGCACCTGAAGGAGCACAGCAGCGATCAGCCGGCCTCCGTCAACCTGTGGAAGAAGAAACGCATGGACCGGATGATGGTGGAGCATCTGCTGCGCTGCGGCTACTACAACACAGCTGTTAAACTGGCCAGACAGAGCGGCATAGAGGTACCTGTGTGTGTGTGTGTGTGTGTGAATCATCTGTTTAGTCTCGAGGTCATTCAATGACTCGGGAGTTCTTTGAGTTCATATAGTGTTTTGCTTTTGAGAATATTGAAACATTAAAACACAAACTGACCCTTTTAACCCTTATGTTGTGTTCGGGTCTCCTGTGACCCGTTTCAAGTTAAAATGATATAATAACTACACTCTAGGTTTTTTTTATCGGAACAAGGCTTCATGATATCCTCCACAACAGCTATCCGTCCGGCAGTGGCTCAGTCAGTAGGAGCTTGGACTGTGAGCCGTGGGGTCGCCGGTTCAAGTCCCCGACCAGACCTAAATATGGACTGGTACTTGGAGAGGTCCCAGTTCACCTCCTGCCCTGCCGTGGTGCCCTTGAGCAAGGCACCGGACCACTCCCATTGCTCCCCGGGCGCTGTACAATAGCTGCCCACTGCTCCTAGTACTAGACTCCTGTTACTAGGATGGGTTAAAAGCAGAGAACATATTTCACTGTGTGTGCTGTGGGCTCTGCATGTGTGACCATTAAAGAGGGTTTCATCCCTCCCTATTCTATTCTATATATAAACACTACAAAACTGATTTTCACCATTTAAGCCAAGTCTGAAGGTCTCTAAAAAAAAAAAAAGTGTATAATTTGGTGTTGGGGTCTGGGGAGCCCCAGCAGCATAGAGAGGCGAAGTCCCTCCCTTTCCGGGGGACCTCCATGGGACCTTATTTCAGAAAAAGTATGTATTGAAGTCAATGGGGAGAGAAAGATTATCTTTCGATCCCATTTGAATTGTGCCACGAATTACACATATGATGTTTGTCAATTTAAAAGATAATTTTAAAAAAGTAAAAAAAATAGAAATGTGTCGTAAAACTGTGAAGTAACACTTTTTTTTGTGTGAAACCGCTCAATGAACTACATCTCCTGTCTCGCACCACACACCAAGACGGCCGTCACGTTGGCACTTTTCACTTCTTTCTTTCAGAATAAGGCGAAAAGTATTAAACAAGGTGAAAATCACTACAAGTCTGGGCATGTTGAGAGCTGTACAGACACAAAAGGGGAGTTATGGCGCGTTTCCACTGCAGCGCGGAGCCCCGTTTAAGAGAGCTGTGACGTCAGCGGCCCGTTTTTGGTTGCGTTTCCACTTGGCCTAGTACCGGCTAGCGGGTCCTAATTCACAGTTTTTCTGGCCCCATAAAATCGTGGTTCTAGGGCCAGGAACAACCAGGCTGAGTCGGGCTGAGTATGCTAAACTAGAGAGAGAATCGCTGGCAAGGGGGCTACAACTACAACAAAATGAACATATTTGACCGTGATTTAATTGTAATACACGTTTCAAAATGATGCCGAAGTAACAACATACTGATACCGGTTAGTAAAAACCATGAATTAATGCTTTGACAAGTCTGCAGACAGACGGCAGGGGAAAAACCTTTTCAAATGCGTGTTTTCTAATGGAGATCGGCTAAGCTAACGCAGTGTATGCTCCAACCGTCCACACTCACAACGGCCTATACAGACATAAATAAACCAGCGACTGTACTCGCCATGACACAGGCAGTCTGTGGTTTGTACTTGTTTAACTTTTGTCTAGTTTCTGAACATATATGAGGAGCTGTGAGCTCTGAGTGCTAACCGCTAACGGCTGTGTTGTTTTTCTGGGGTTCTCATTGAAGATGACGTCACGACTCCGCCGAGGCCGAGCGAGGCCGTGTAGTGGAAACGCGCCATTAGTCGGTTCCGTAAGAGCCAGCATGCGGGACCAGGATTCTGGGATTTGTAGTCTTTCTAGTTGCGTATTTTTCATAGTCTTATATTTCAACAGTTTTACGACAAACTGTGACTTTTTTGACATGGAAATTATTTTTTAAGATTGACAAACATCATATGTGTAATTCGTGGCACAATTCAAACGAGATCGAAAGATAGTTTTCTCTCCCTATTGACTTCAATACATATTTTTTCCTAAATAAGGTCCCATGGGTCGGAAGTAGAAGGGCGGGACTTCGCCTCTCTATTGTTTTGGGTCACTGGGTCAAATTTGGCCCAATCAAGATTCATCTTTGACTTTAGACACCCCACCCCCACCCCCTTTATCCACTGTAACAATAATTTTAAACTTTTTGGGGGGAAATTGTATTCTAATAGTCTATTATTGTCAGATAACGTAATGATCCACTGTCTTCACTATAGGAAATATAATGAGTGAATTGAATTGCATGTTTTACTTAAATATGTGGTGCAATGTTTGTTGGGGCCATAAAATAATATTACAACAGGATTGTACGGTTATGAATGCATTATCAGTTAGTTACGATGTAGTTAAAACAATATTGGATGATAGTCATTATAGTGTTTTAGACTGAGATAAATCATGGGTCAAAATTGACCCGCGAACACCATGAACGGTAACAGCTTTCAAACACAACACAAGGGTTAAACTGTCCATTTATCCTAATACTAGGGCTGTGCAATTAATCGTATTTTAATCTCGATTACAATTTTGGCTTGCAATGATTACGAAAACAACGTAATCGAAATAAAACGATTATTTTTATAAGATTTATTTATATATATATTTTTTTTTTATTGGTTTTTCAGTTGAATTATACTTAAAGTTCAGGGTAATCAACTGTTAAAAACATACTGTTCCAATTTTTCTTTTCAATAAATGGATGTTTTCAAAGTAAATGGATAATCGTTTTTAATAATCGTGATATCAGTTATTGACAAATAATCGTGATTATGATTTTTGCCATAATCACACAGCCCTACCTAATACACGTATGTTTGTGGTGTGACTTGTCTCGTCCTATTTGTTGAATGTTTAATTAGTCAATTCTAGGAATGCCTGGATCGATCCACTTCCGATCGTTATCAGCCGATATTCATTCAAATTAGACACTTAAAAGATCGCCATGAATGCTGTCTATAATTGCTGATAAAACATTGTACAAAAATATTTCAGTGTCGAAATTGGAAAGATGAGAGATTTCTTAGGTTAGCTGATTGCATGCGGAGGGAAGTACAGTCCTACTTAAATAACAGCTAATGTTTAAGGACGTTGCATTGAATTGCATCACGATGTGTAGAAAGCTTGATTAACTAGACAAGAGTATTGGACAAAGGTACATTATATTATTATCATGATATGTTCAAATGTCATCTTGTAAATTAAAGTTCTTGGCAATAAAATTCAATTAAAAAGGGAACCATTTCCTGGCTGCCGTCTAAACTAATGCCAAGATTTGATGAATCTGTTTTTTTGTCTATCATTGACACATCCACTGTATTTTCAGGATCTGGTCAACATTGAGATGTTCCTCACGGCGAAGGAGGTGGAGGAGTCTCTGGAGAGGCAGGAGACGGCCACCTGCCTAGCCTGGTGCCATGACAACAAGTCCCGGCTCCGCAAGATGAAGGTAGCTCATTTCACTTTTTACCTCACCAGTTCAAGTTTGGCCTAACAAATCCTTAAATGCCATGCGCATGAAAAACAAAAACATGACTGCATAGGTTAGGTCGATCATTTCATCATCAAGCAGAATGATATGGTCAAGTTGGTTTTATAGGTTGTACATTTCTGCCCTTTCTAAACAAAAATCCTCAATGTAACACTGTTTGTGCTCAGAAACAGACCTGATTCAATTACTCCTCCTGGGCAGTGGCAGCAAGATACCGTGTTAATCCTCAGATTATCCTCAGTGTGCGAAAAAGCACACGTCCCACCGTCCGGGACGTGTTATTTACAATATCGGACAAGTAGATCTTTCAATTGACTTGTCCGGTGGACAAGTGACGTTTTCCGCCCTCATTTATTGACAAATTATAGATAAATTCAGTTTACAAAAGGCAGAACTCATTCGCAATTTGTCCTTGTTCGTTTAGAAATGTTAGTTTCGGCTCTGCTTGTCGATTCCTAAGGAAATGCATCTCGCCGCTTTCTGTACTGTAGACGGGGGTGGGGCGGGGCGGGACGTGTAGCACAGTGGCAGGGTTGGGAAGCAAAACTCGGTTCCGAGTAGGAACAAATAACAATTGTCCAGTACCGGGATTAATAAGAGTTGTGAGGACAGGAGGCGAGGCCGAGCCCCGCGGACCGCAGCTCTCTCTCTCTATGCTCCGGATCATCTGATCGCTGCATGGTGCAGCTCCGCGTCTCTCTCTATCTCTCTCTCCCTCTCTCTCTCTTTCTACACACAGCGGATCCGCTGCCTGTTTAACAGCCTCATCTTTGTCAACCTTTCTTATGTTCTTTCTCTAACACGTAATGAAGGTTATTAAGTGTTTTAGCTCCTGTGTTGTTAATATTGACCGCCATTTCCTTTTATGAAGTAAAGCAGCCTCCCTGTCTGTGTCCTCGCGCTGTCCTCACATCCCCGGACCCCCAGACTCGGAGGAGCACAGGGATGTCAGTATTGTTTATGAAGCAGGGTATAGAAAGTACATTATTGAAATGAAAATACTATTTATTTACTTTTACAAACAGTGAGCAGCTGGGCAGCTGCAGCATGTGTATTACAGGACATGTGTAAGCGTGCAAGCGTCTTTGAGCTGTAGAAAAGCGCTAGGCCTATAGGCTATAAATATAATGTATTATTATTATTAGGCCTATGTGTTGGACATGTGTGGTTGGACTCTGTCTCACAGGCAGGTTGCAGTGTAACATCAGAGGAGACTGGGGGAGACTGGGCCAATTGTACATTCTCAAACTGCACCACTTAGAACTAACTAAACAATGCAGAGATTATTTTTATATAATTTTATTCAATAACTGTAACGAAATTCAACAGTATGAAGTGATTTGTAAATAGGAATACAGATTTGACTTAATGTTTTCATAAATATGTTTTTCTCCCAGTTTGTCATGGGACTTATTTTTACCCTCTCAAAGAACCGGAATCGAGAACCGAAAATAACCGGAATCGAAAAGCAGAACCGGAATCGTTAAAATCCAAAGATACCCAACCCTATGTGTGATGCAGTAAAATCTTACCGCTCACTTACGTTAGCTGTGTCGTAAAAACCGTGGGAAAATTTAAAATACGATGGCGAAGAAGAAGATTCCAGTGGCCCTAATTTTTGTCCATTCTGGACAAGTGAAAAATGTATTCGGACAAGTAAATTGCCAAACTCACTTGTCCATGGACAAGTACTCTCTAAAAACTTTTACTCACACTGATCCTATTGAACCATGACATGGTAAGCCTCCCAGGTAGCTGTTGGAGAGTCAACCCTGAACTGCATAGAGGGCAGAACATATATGTGACCCGCTCTATCGAAATCAGTCGCATTGACCCGATGACACATTTTGAGTTGTATACTGTGTTGGAAAGAGGAGATTCCTAGCTTTCTAATGATATCAGGATTGTTTTTGTACTGCAAATATTAAGCAAAATATGTCACATTATATAATGACTGTTGCCGAGTCATCATTTTGAGAAAAAGGCCTTTAAAGTTTCCTCTTCTCTGGATTATTAGCAGAGCAAATTATCAAAATATTTTCGTTTGGATTACTGGTCTGGGGGAAGCTCGCGAGTGTATGTGTGTTTGTGTGTATTGTGTTCGTTTCCCGGGGAAAACACTCACGAGAAACACCGTCTGTTGTTATGCCTGCTGTGACGTCAAGTTACTCCGTTCTCCGCTTGCAATTATGCCGTTACAAGCTTCAAAGTTGTATTTATCATCTGAATTTGCCGAAACAAGTTTAATATTCTGAAAGCCAAGACTTTGTTTATTTGATCAGATGAAAACAAACTGTAACGGACCCTGCCGTGTTATCTATGATTACTATACGCCTTACATTCATAATTTCAGCGGGAGGGCTGCGGAAGAGCAGGTTGCGAGTGAGAGGTGCCATCTTCCCTTTACAAACTTCAAACATATATTTATCGTGTGATTTTGGAAATAAAAGTTTCATATTCTGAAAGCTTCCGACTGATTTCGATAGAGCAGGTCACATATGTGGTAAGTCCAAGTTTGGGATGCTGACGCTAGGGAATTTTACATGAGAGCATTTATGAAATTTGGTCTGGTATTTCCAATCCACTGCCAAGACAGGAAGGTTTAGTTCAAGCAGAAACATCTTTAGAGTCAGGTTTTTTTTTTTAAACTTCTGTAAACCCATGTGTATGATTACATTTTGAAAGGCATCTTGAGAATTTGATTGTGGGTATGTTCGTTTTTGCCACCTGCCTGCTATCAAAGTTTATATACGGCATCATTGTTTTTTTAAATTAATAATGATGATTTTGCAGCTCTGTGTTTTAAACTCACTGGCATGTTTGGTCTGTTTCTTTGGCAGAGCTGTCTGGAGTTCAGTCTGAGAATCCAGGAGTTCATTGAGCTCATCAGACAAAACAAACGCATGGATGCAGTCAGGTAACACACTCGTGCATGCATGTGGGCATTACACACACACACAGTTTCAACTTTTAAACGTACATTGTTTTAAAGCCACTTAAACAAACATACCCCCCTCTGATCTTCTTCGTGTGTCTCTGTGTCTCTCAGACATGCAAGGAAGCATTTCAGCCAGGCAGAGGGGGGGCAGCTGGATGAGGTCCGGCAGGTGATGGGCATGCTGGCATTCCCATCAGATACACATATCTCCCCATACAAGGTAAAGCCTTTATTCATTTGAATATGTACATGTTTGACACTTTATTTGGTGATACCCATTACACACACACATCTATGTATGTTCAACATTATGGTTTACTCATCTGAGATTCACACTCTAAAGATACAACGCATAGGTAACCATACCATGTATAGAAAGGGTCTATGTCTAAATTGTTAAAGAGGGATAACGGGTTCTATTATCAGTCCTTTCTATTTCTTAGTGTATTTTATTATCACACTGCCGCCTGTATTCTTGACGAGCACAAAGAGCCTACTAAACTAAGGTTTTCTCTATGTGCTTTCTCTAACATTTGGAAACTTCTCGTTAACTTAGCTGCTGACTCAGGAGGACAGAAGACGACGTGAATGTGTGAAACCGACTGATGTCTGTGTTTTTCATTCTTTCAAATCAGGAATATGTTTATTTAAACATTAGATTTTTTTCTTAGATATTAATGAGTTTATATAATGACCGGTGCTGCTCTAGAATCAACATATAGTTCTATTTTAAATCAATTTTAATGATGCTTTGAATGTATATTTTTATAATATATTTGTTTTAATGTATTGTATTCGTAAGAAGAACACATAAGCACAAACTATCATAAGGAGTATCAATAAAAGTAGTAGTTAACCAATCCTATGACCAGAGATGTGGTATAGCTCAGAGCGGCCACTAGATGGCATCGGTTCCCTTTTCAAAAGATAAACAACTCCTTCTCTGTCCTCTGCCAACATGTTCATGGGGTTGCACATTTCCAGCTATGGCTTCATTATTTATGTTCTCAATGTTAAACTTATGGTTAGTTATCAATTAACATTCGGAAACAAATGTTATGACTTACATTACCTTAAGTGTAAGAAATAAACACATATAAGATATTTGAATAATCAAGCTCTGAAGGACAATGTTGCTGCCCCAACAGTTTTAAGGGATTTAACTGTAATATCATTTTGAAAATGCATTTATATTACAATTAGAATTAATTTGAGTGAAAACAGTTGCTTCGTGGTAAGCTCAGTACAAAACATTCTCGTCTGCATAGCCTTCACCATGATGTTGTATTACATGAAATACCCGGTTTCCAGATTAGTCTAAAATAGTGTGTGTGTGTGTGTGTGTGTGTGTGTGTGTGTGTGTGTGTGTGTGTGTGTGTGTGTGTGTGTGTGTGTGTGTGTGTGTGTGTGTGTGTGTGTGTGTGTGTGTGTGTGTGTGTGTGTGTGTGTGTGTGTGTGTGTGTGTGTGTGTGTGTGTGTGTGTGTGTGTGTGTGTGTGTGTGTGTGTGTGTGTGTGTGTGTCCTGGCTTCACTTCACTAAGCCCTTTACTTTGCTGCTTTCTCTGCTGTGTGTTGCTGTTTCCATCGCCTCAGTGAATGCAATTTAGTGTGTTTAACATGTTTGTAGAATAAACATAATTTGTGTCAGAGACAAAATGTCCTCTTGGAGTTGTGTGAGCACAGTCTGCACCTCGCTGTACGTGCATTCTCAGAATAACAAAGCACTGGGTCTGAAGTCAGCTTCATACAAAACATCTAGACCAAGTGAAAAAGAAACAAATAACATTTTCAAAAAACTCTGTAAAGAACCAAGAAAAATAAAATAGAAAAAATATATGTGAAAGTTTAAAAGTTACAGTTGAGTATAAGATTGTAATAATTATTGTATTTATTAACAGGAAGTAAGAAACAAAAAGTCTACGGCATTGACTTAAAAGAACTTCGACTGACTTGCAGTTTTCCAGGAGTTTGTTTCAGTTATATAACGCATACATTTGTAAACACTCTCTGGTGTCTGTCTTGTTTTTTCCCCATCAGGATCTTTTGGATCCTGCCCGCTGGAAAATGCTGATCCAGCAGTTCAGATATGACAACTACAGACTGCACCAGCTGGGAAACAACTCTGTGTTCACTATCACTCTACAGGCCGGTCTGTCCGCCATCAAGACACCGTATCCTGCCATATTTTACTCCAAATAATACGTTAATTAGGCCCTTTTTGATTTCATTTTTTTTTTTAAATCCTCTGGAGCAGAGAGAGGAGCTGTGGATTATTGTTATTGATTAGTGCATCAGTGTTTCTTAGGGTCAAAAACACTAAACTCACAACTTAAAATGAAAGAGTTTAGTTTATTTAATAAAAGAGCACATGTTCAATGTGAAAAGTGACAGTAGATATAGATTAGTTGCAATTTGGTGCTATATATATATATATTTTTAAATTTTAAAAAAAATTATAATTTTTTTTTTTTTTTGAAACACCTTGAATTTCAGGGGGGGGCGCGGGGCTCCGTTGGCGGGGCTCCGTTGGCGGGGCTCCGTTGGCGGGGCGCAGCGCCCCTCCAAGACAATGGTAGGGGAAACACTGCAACCACTAAGGTTATAATGTAAGTTTAAATGTTATCAAATTAGGTCTTGAATACACATGACCTTTTCTCTTTGACTCCACTGTTTAATCAAAATGGAAGTGCTAGACGCTTTCTAAATTGTTTTTGATTATTCTTTCCTCTACTGTGACACCCATGGTAACATTGTGTATTCAGAAATGATTTCACTTATTTTCCTTAACCTTATTGCGCGTTCCAGTCAGTGCTACAAGGAGGACGGTACCTCTAAGAACCCAGACTGCCCGGTGTGCAGTAAATCCCTCAACAAGTTGGCCCAGCCGCTTCCCATGGCCCACTGCGCCAACTCCAGACTAGTGTGTAAGATCTCTGGGGAGGTCATGAACGAAAACAACCCCCCGATGATGCTGCCTAATGGATATGTCTATGGTTACAATGTGAGTACATTGCATTTGTAGATCTTAAAGTACAGGGATCATGAGATAAAGCTAGTTCGGCCTATAGTAACGCACATCAATTCACCCCAGAATAAAAATGCCTTGTTTGCCTCTCACCTGAGTAGCTATTAATCAATTTAAATAGTTTTGGGGTATAAAGTAAGTGTTGGAGATATCTGATGTAGAGATGTCGGATGTGTTGCTCAAAGTTTGAAAAAAACATTTGAAAAACTGAACAGCTTTTGTCCTGGTTAGAAACAACAAATTGTTCAGACATTTTTTTGAATATCTTGAGTTCATTATATGTGGAAAGTGACAGTTTTTCAACACCACAAGCCAAGTGCCATAAAGTTCCATTATATGAATGAGAAGAAAGGCTCCAACACATTAATGGCACTACAGGTATGAGGAAAACATATATTTGTATATTCTGGGTGATCCCTTTAAATGTAATAATGGGAGCAAGAAAAGTAATGGATGTTTTTGTTCTTTCTCATTTGTTTTCTGTCTGCTTCGTATCTCTTTCAGTCCCTTTTGTCCATCCGCCAAGATGACAAAGTGGTGTGTCCCAGAACCAAAGAAGTCTTCAACTTCTCTCAGGCTGAGAAGGTTTACATCATGTGATCACCCAGATAACCCGTCTGAGGATTAACATGATCGCATACATCGTTCATCACCTGGCTTACTCAGAAAGCCACCTGTGGAGCTGTGATCCAGAAACCCCCCACCCTCCCAGACACACCCGGCATTTCTCACTACCCCCCCCCCCCCCCCCTCAAACATGATCATCTCAAGTTCTTCAGTTTCTTACTTCCTTTTATTTTATCACACAGAAACTGGGATCCTCTCCTTTCAGACTCTGAGAAAGAGGTTGAATGATCTGATTCATTGAAGCACAGAACAAGGACTGAGGGGATGAAAAACTGCTAGTTAGACGTTTGATTTTATTACAACAAATAAAAAACCTTGTTGAGGTTATTTTGACTTCCCACTAGTGGTGTTCTTTTGTTACTAAAATAACATGTGGCAGGTCTGTGGTAAACGGCTATCCATATAAACACATGACTTTTGGGCAAAACAAACATGTCTGCCTCCTGTTCGTGTGGTAGCATCTCGTTCTGTAATGCATGCTGTTGACATCCTTTGTCTTCTAGCCATGTTTTTGGGTGGATTGTTGGGGGGATATATGTTAAATGCCTCTACTAAACTGCCTACTTTCTTTGCATTTCATCCCCCTTGGTTGTGTGAACCGGAGCCTGATTTGGGCCGCTGTAGGCTCCTTTTCAAATGTAAATATTAGATAGGAATTGATCATCCTCATGTGTAAATTCAGAGGTTTTGGGGACAAGTTACAACAAAGATTAACTTTCTACAAAGATTGCTGTGTGAAATGAACAAGTCTTTTTTTGGTGGCGTTTACCTCAAATTGGATGTTCAGTAAGACTTCTCACTTCTGAGGAAGCTTTCATTATTCAACAAACTTGTAAACATTGATTACGGTGTATTTACTACCATAATGAAGTTTACACAACATTCAAACAAGACAACCATCTTTGATGTTTTTTAAAATGAACAAATCGTCTTCCTTTTTTGTGTTTGGTTTGCCATTTTTAGTTAATTTCAACAAATGTCTCTTATTACTTCAGCTAACAGAAAAGTGTGTTTCTGTGAACTTAACATATTTATTTTTGTTTAAAGATAAAACCCTAGATGTGTTTAGATGATTCAACATTGCCCAAATAGTTTTAATTTCATAACTATTTTTCCAACAATTAACAAAATTGACTCTGACTTTTAAAACCTAATGTAGATGACGGATGGATATGTGATCGGACCTAGATGCACACAAATTCGGACTCAAGTGACAACTAATGCACAAATTGTGAAGAATTTACCCGTAAATACCCACACTAAGAAATCCAAAAATGCAGTTTTATGTTGATCAGTCTTTTGGTCAATCATTTCTTCCATTTTTTTTTCTTTCAACAAACCAAAAGTTGCCTCATTTGTGTCCATAAATGATTTGGAAGTGTATCTGTAAACGACACAGACTGTCCTGTGTGTTTGTGTTGGTAGAATAGAAGGGATTGTTTCATGAGCAACATGCCTCATAAAGATTTCAGTGAACTTTGTTTTCATTCTTTCATTCTTTTTCTCCTTTGCACGGTCGGCTCTTAGAGCAGCATTACCATGAACCCTGTTGGGTGTGATGAGATTAACGATTCAATGCATATTTTGTTGACATGGAAATTAAACCAAGTGTTGTGTCTTTCACCTGAAACTTAATCTCCATGATCTGAAGAGGTCAGCGGCCTGTTTTGGTCTAGCAGTGAAAAGCACTCTTACAGATGGTAATTAACTGTAGGGTCGAATCCTTTCTCTGTAACATGGATTTCAAGTTAAAACATAAGCAAGACAAAATAACTAGGCACTTAAAATGAGACTTGGCAGTACAATTGTTCCTTTATAAGAGACTAAGAATTGTCTTCCAACATGGGGTTTTTGTCTACCCCGTTCCAATTAAAACTAGGTTGTGTTGGGGAGGCGGCAAGCGATTATCAATTAATTTCCCCATTATTGAACAATTTGTGAATTAAACAATTGATTATAAAGTTTAGAAAATTGTGAAAAAAGCTTGCTCATTGTTTCATCTTAAACGTTTATTTTCTTCAAACCATAAAATATTTTAATTAAGTGGCAGAAAACTAATCTGAGCAGCTCAAATCAGTTAAGCCGGTGGCTGAAACATACTTTTTTTTGCTATATTATATTCATTTTCTACTGAACTAGTTCTATTTTTTATGATTTTGAATAGACCTGACAGCAAAAACCCAAGAAATTATCTCATGTTGAATTGGTAGATGTTGCTTTTTACTAAGTGCCATAAACCTACTAACATTTAAACATTTAAAGCCAGTTCACTAATAGCCAGTTTGGTTTTGACTTTTCACACTAACCAAGCTAATTACTAAAATGAAGATGTACAATCATAAAGGCACTGGCTCACATTGTACACTTTTTTCACACGATATATACCTTTGCATTATATTTTTGGTTGAGAACGTGGCTTTGGTTTAAACTTATGTGCTCAATATAAGCCTTAAACAATATAGAAAATGCCATGACCCCATTCAGAGGCATAATAGCATTTGACTTACTCGGCTGGGGGAGGGGTTCATGTGTTGGACAAATCCGAAGATAATCGGCAGAAATAAAGGCATAAATGTTGCAATTCCAACGCGTAGATTTGTGTTGGTTAAGGATATAAATGATACATCATTAAATTACAAAGTTAAATGGATCAATTTTGAAAACATGTGACACAGAAAGCGTGCTGCAACGACTGTGTGCACGATAAGGCTCAAACGCAGTGTCCTTTTATTGTGTTTAGTATTTCATAAATATATATTTTCATACTTTTATATTTCAATGTGCTTTGGTATGGTGGTTTAGAGGTTTTAGACATAGTCTTCTTTTATTTTTTAAACATAACAGCTGCGGTCTTTGTTCCCCCCCAAAGAAAGAGTCTTGAACCGGAAGAGGTGTTGCGAGCTGACGTCACACGGCGTCCTGTATAAATACAGCTGCGTTCTTCTCTCGGCATCATCTCGAGTCAGTGCACAGTTTTCCGTAATTCAGCAAGCCGTGAATCCAACGATGACTGACCAGCTTTGCAAACTTTTTGTCGGAGGTCTCAACGTTGACACCGACGACGATGGTCTTCGCAAACACTTCGAGCAGTACGGTTCCCTCACCGACTGCGTGGTGGTGGTGAACAAGCAGCTGCAGCGGTCCCGTTGTTTCGGCTTTGTGACCTACTCGACACCAGAGGAGGCCGACGCAGCAATGGCGGCAAGGCCTCACACAGTGGACGGCAGCGGCGTGGAGGTGAAGAGGGCCGTGGCGAGAGAAGACGCGAACAAACCAGAGGCCCTCGCCAAGGTTAAGAAAATCTTCGTCGGTGGATTGAAAGACGACATCGAGGAGGAACACCTGACCGAGCATTTCTCCCAGTACGGTGAAATCGAGAAGGCCGAAGTCATCTCGGAGAAGGAGACCGGGAAGAAGAGAGGCTTCGGCTTTGTTTACTTCAACGACCACGATGCCGCAGACAAAGCAGTGGTGGTGAAATTCCACACCATCAATGGACACAAGGTTGAGGTGAAGAAAGCCCTGACCAAGCAGGAGATGCAGGCGTCCGGCAGGAGCGGGATGCAGCCGAGGGGCAGAGGGGGCCGAGGCATGCGGGGAAATCAAAATGGCTACGGCGCCAGAGACTACAGCGGAAACTACAACTACGGAAATGGCGGAGGCTATGGCGGCGGCGGAGGATACGGAGGGGGCGGCTATGGTGGTGGGCCATATGGGGGTGGTGGTGGTTATGGAGAACAGGCTGGCGGCTATGGAGGTGGAAACGGCTACAACGAGTTCGGCAGCGGGTATGGTCAGCATTCCTCCGGCTACGGGCCCATGAAAGGGCCACCTTTCGGTGGGCAGCAGAGGAGCGCGGCTCCCTACACCAGAGGAGGCGGAGGAGGAGGGGGAGGAGGCGGCGGTGGATACCCACGAGGGGGCTACGGAGGCGGCGGATACTAATCCAACCACCCCATCCACTGCCATCAATTACCTCCAGGATTTGGACACCAAAATCAAATTCGTGAAATGCCGTGAATCCAACAATGGCACACGGACACAGAGACCCCATAATCACCAGACCTCCCAACCCCCAACAGGTAGGAAGGTCACTTCCCAGAAAACCTGATAATAACGAGCAGCTGTTGCCGTTCAACTAGGACATGTTAATGAAGACTAAACATACAGCGATCCCTTTTTTTATTATGTATCCCACGCTAATGCGTGTAGTTGTCGTTTAGAGTTGAATATTATTTTTTATTTGCGATATTCGTTGTTTTGCAAATTCCGATGTAGGATTGTTTTCCTGATTATCCTTATTTGCATTTTTAAAGCAATTCGATTTATGTTTTCTGGAGTTCACTTTTTATTGTACGAGGATGAGAAAGCATGTCTTGTGGTTCTGGATTTCATAGTTTGTCATACTGAATTACATCCAACTTGTATGAATATATTACTTTGGCCATTCAGCAAAAGGCGGGAACGTGATACTGCAGGATCCAGTTTGTTTCCCCCCACTGTACTCAAACTCTCCTCACAAATAGTCATAGTTTCAGTCTAAATATTGTTCATTTTTCATTTACCTGTAGCAATATCTAATGTATATTGTATACTTTCATGTCTGGAGAACAAAACCTACTGTTAAAAAACTTTGGTATGCTTATGTATGTTCATTTTAAATAAAACGTTATACCACTTAGCTTAGTTTACTTTACTTATTATTTAACCAGGCTTCCTCAAGTTTATTTACAGGTTGTTAAAGGAACATCATCTTGATCCTTTAGTTACATGGCATCTACTGTAACAGTTTTTCCCTTACTCTCAGGTGGGTAAATGGTTAAAGAATATGTAGTCTACCCACAGCCAATGCATGTAGGCTCTGTAGGGTTTGACCTTTTTTTTTATTACATTAAATTATGTGTTTTTTTAGACCTTGCTAATGACTCTTTTTTTTTTACATTTTCCTTTTACACATTTGACTACATATCAATATGTGGACATGAGGGCTCTGATATTGAATAACTATTCCTACTTCCTATTAGGTGTTCTTACTCGTATTCCAGTATGCTTTCCCAGCCATAATAGCCGTAGCAGTTTGTTTGTAGGCTACATCAGGACCCTGTTGATTACCTGGGGTCGATTGTGATAGGAGTCTGAAATATCTCTTTAGGATATCCACATCCAGCAAACTAGGTATGTAAATCAACCTGTCTTCACTCTGTGTTGGTCAACCATGTATGGAATATCAACTATAAGATGGCTCACAAGTGTGCCATTATTTAAAATCCTATTAAACAACTTAAGTTACAATTTATACACTACTCAATGCGTCTTCATATAGCTAATCTTGTATTGAAAAAAAAAATGGGGGGGGTGGGGTTACTTAATTTGGTCTTAAATTATCTTTAAGTGGGTGGAAGGGGACCCAAATGTTGTTCCACCATTTAAAATAGACAACGGAACAAGTACATTGGTGTCTCTTCCAGAAAACTCTGCAAAGCCCAGTATCTCACTCTGTTTCTCTCCCATCTTCTCCAGGTTGCTACGGTAACCTGGGCATGAGGCGTCACCCCGAAAAACACTTGGTGTGTGTCTCCCCGCCGACGGGCAACTGGAGAGCGCTTGTGCCCTTTCCCCCTCAGGTGATGTCAGTTTTCACAAAGGATTCCTCAATGTGGTCTAAATGCATAGGAGTCTGACCATGGGTTTTTATTCTGAAAGGTTTTATCGACTATTTGGTGCTTTATGTTTTGGAGACATTTGATACCACAGTGCCCCGGTGCAGTGTAAGCGTTATTTCCCAACAACGAGCAAATGCTATTTTATTACAGATTTTAACCTCTTTTTAGGATGTGAATATTTTATGTGCTGCAATAAATAAGTTTCAAAAAAATATATTTTTATCTTTTCTCTATGCATTATGACTTCTCAGATTTATTTTAGGACTGCTTACACAAGAGTTAATGCTGACCAGGAAGAGACCATTTGCACTTGGGTACTGTGGATTTCAAAAATAAAACTTTTATTGATTAATAGTTTGTGTTGTGTTTTCAATAAGTTAAAAAGTTTGGTTTTTGATATATATATAATTTTTTTTTTTATTACATCTGATACAAATTAAGTGTCATTGTGCCAAAATTCCAATATAACAAAACTAGAAAGCTTGAAAATGAGGTGATCAAAAGCCACATGCGTGAACAGCCACGTGTTTCTTGCGTAATCAGGAAGTAGAGGCCATGATCTGCAAGATACGGGTATATTTTACAAAAACTTCCTGTTTGGGCTGTTATTGGACAACTCATAAACTGGGTTATGTTAGGCTCATTGCTCAACCTCATTAGGGTTCACATTTGTCAAATTGATGTTAAACTTTTACCCTTTCTGAAGGTCTAGTGCCTGAAATGGTTTAAGCAGTGAAGAATGAAAATGATAGCCGTTCACAACTGATATTAATACTGTACGATTCTGTTCAGAGGATGGTGAATTTTCCTTAATTACAATGCACTTCAGCGTTTGAAGACAATTCTTGTTATGGTTGGTAATGCATGAGAGTTTTAAATGGTTTTATCTGAATTATACTGGAAAGATACATATTTGAAGTGCCCTCACATGAAGACATACATTTGACTTTGGAAAAGTAACCATAAGAGCTCAACAATAATCTCTTGATGAACAAACAATACATCTGACAAAGTCTTTGATTTACCTCCAACAGCTGAAGTCGTAACATTAAACTGGCAGTTTAAGACTTGGCTGGATGAACGTAATTGAACAATTAACATAAGAGGTAATTACAGACGTAATTCCTCAGTCAACATTGGAGGAAAGGGTCTTGTCTGATGTACTGTGGCAATTCAGGGAGTCTAGTGTCACCATAACTTGTTGGTTTAAATGCGTGATTAATCCTATGTTATAGTGGGAATGTACATTTTACTTTTGTTCTTTTATAGGATAATGGTGGTTAAGGATTTCTGATCATCCCATAGGAGAGGAACCATCTGTTATGTCAGCCGTGCTTTTTATGATTCTACAATAAATTATATATTTTTATACACCACTTGTTATGTTACTTATTTACATCCAGGATAGTTTGGTTGCATGTCCCTGCGTGATCCCAGTCAACAAGGTTCAAAATCAGCAGAAGAGGCCAACAATCTGGTTGGTCGTTATACTCAAGTTACATTCAGACAGGATTTGGAGTACCTATCGTGTTCATTCAATGCTGAACATTTTTGGTGCTGGTATAAGTGACACACTCTGCTTCACAGTTCTCGCTTTTTGAGTGACAAAGGATTTATAAAGATTTTTTGTGTGTCAGATCCATGTTAGGGCTGGCCAAGAATCTGGCCATGTTATGAATCGTGATACAGGGGGTTTATTTTAAATCAAATTATAGGTAAACTTTCATCGTAAATACTTTTTTAGATCAACCAGAACAATGGGATTAGTGTTTATCACAGTCTGTATAAATCTGATTTCAGATAAGAACTTTTTCTTGTGCAAACACCTTGGGTAAAGCTATACAACTGAGTGGCTATGTCACATCCAACTTTATAGACAAATAAGAAGTGCAAAAGTGTTGCACATTAACTAAATGTTATTTGAGAATCAAAACAATATTACAAATCAACGATATCAATTATTATTCTTTTTCATTAACAGCGTACTTTAATGCGTACTGTTTTTTTTAACAGCAGCTTTAATATGCATATTTCCACAAATATTTTTTTGCTATTTAAATTGATTTTTCATGTTAATAAACACCAGAAATTCCACATACAGGGTTGGTCACCAAGTGGCATTGTGTGTACCCTTAAGGTCCAACCCATTTATTTAGGGGTAATTACAAGCAAAAGTAGACTAAACCCTGCATTTATTTTTATCCACGTTTACCAGTTTGCCCCATTGGCTCCCCTTAAGGTCAGTGGAGTAGTGTGTCATCATTGGCAGGATTGGGTATCAAGTGTATTTGCACAGGACAACATAACTTATGAACTTCACCCTTTGATACACAAGCTATGCAAGCCGCCTTTGAGGCACAACACAGGCCAAAAATGACACGTATTGACCTATAATGTTATTTCATGCATGGCTGAGTGTTTCTTTGCTATATTTTTGGAGATCAATATATTTAATAATTTAGTCATAAATCATTATATATGCATTCTCCCTTTCTTAATTTATGAACTAAAATATTTATAGTGTTACCACATCAAGTTTACACACATTGGTCGAAAATGACGTGTGTTAAAAATGTAAAAAATCATTTTGGTTTCTTCTTCACACTGTTGTCCTCCACTGTCATCATGCATGGTGCTCAAGAGGACAACAGCCTAACCCTATTTTTGGCACAGGTCATGTTGCCACTAAATCAAAATTCTGAGTTATGCATCTCCCTTGATTTGGATGGTCAAGTAATGTTCATATATTATGTACAGTTATCTTTCACAACATATCAAATATGTTCTTAGGTAAAATGAGACGGAAGTTAATCAAATGTGCAAAAGCAGCCTGTTGAGGTGAGGCATGTGAGTTGTCCACCGTAAACATCTTCCTAACTGCAAACACAAATACAAAAGTATTATTATAGTACGTCTTTTAATTATTTTATCACACTTGGCATACATGGTTCATTTTTGACCAATGTGTGTAAACCTGATGTAGAAATACAAAACTATTTCAGTTCATAAATTAAAGAAAGGGAGAATGAAAATAATGATTTGTTGTAATCAAAGACAAGATATTTAATGAATACTTTGAATATTAATGACCAAATATATAGGTTTTCAAAGATATAGCAAAGAAACACTCAGCATGCAAGAAATAACCTACTAATAATAATAGGAAAATAATACGGGTAATTTTGGACCGATGTTGTGCCTTAGAAGGAGGGTAGTGATACATACATTATTGTTATTCAAAAAGCAAGAAAGGAAAAATGAAAATAACACACTGATTAATACCTGGAATTCTGAATGATTTAAGTAATTTATTGCAAAGATATTTACAATTCAAACTCACTTTCGACCCATGTTGTGTATCAAAGGGTTAAAACCCCCTCTTCAGAGCCTATAAGAAGTCAATCTACACAGAGCACCTTGTATGTTTGGATAGTTCAAATTGGTAATCATTTACATCAAAGATAAGAAACTGAGCATAGCTGTAATCAGAGGTGGGACGTAACTTAGTACATTTACTCAACTACTGTACTTAAGTGCAACTTTGAGATACTTGTACTTAACTTGAGTATTTCCATTTTATGCTACGTTGTACATCTACTTCACTAAAAGGACACTCAATTGTGTAGTTTTACTCCACTACATTTATTTAATATCTTTAGTTACTTTGCGGATTTGGATTAATGATTTGAAATATAGAACACTTAAATGAGACACCTGGAGTAAATTCACGAGCTACTCTGCAGCATACAAAGGAATCTAAAACTAGCCGCACCTTTACCTGCTTTGATAACACTTTCATTAATCAATAATTATTATTATCATATTCTGAAATGCCCCAATTGGCATAGTGAGTTTCTTTTGGTACTTTAAGTATGTTTTGATGCTAATACTTTTAACTTTTACTTGAGTAACATTTTGAATGCAGGACCTTTACTTGCAACAGAGTATTCCTCCTACACTGGTACTTCTACCTTTACTCAAGCACAAGTTCTGAGTACTTCTCCCACCTCTGGCTTTCATTTTAAAACACATTTGAAACAAATAAGATAAAAGCATATGGGTTTTTTAAAAGTTGGAAGTTATGTGGCAAAAACTGCAGGGAGAGCTTTTACAGCTATTGCTGAAAACAGGCTTGTTACAGCATGTATTCAAATTCTTTTAAACTACTTTGAAGAAACACTTCATTTACTTTTTCCAGCAACATGGGGGGAGGGGGTTGAGTAGTTTCACTCTGTAAAAAGACTGAC